CCATAAGAAATTACAACTATTGAAGGGTAAAATCAAGGAATGGAACAACATAGAATTTGGGCGGTTGGAAGAGAGAAAGCAAACGGTAATTGATCAATTGGAAGATTTGGATGGGAAGGAGGGGAGGGGAGAGCTAACACAGGAGGACAAAGAACAGAGGTGGAATCTGCGGAAACAACTGGAGGATGAATTGTTCAAGGAGGAAATCAGTTAGAAACAAAAGCCAAAGGTGTAGATGGTTGAAGGAGGAAGATAGGAATACAAAATTTTTTCATTGTTTGGCAAGTGGGAGAAGGAAGAATTTTATTTCAAACTTGGAAATAGAGGGGATAGCCTTATCTGATTAGGGGGAGATTGCTATGGAGTTTGCTAACCACTTTAGGTCTATATACAGAAAACCCTTAAGTAATAGGGTTTGGATTGAGGGGATGGAATGGCCGAGGTTGTGATCAGAAGATAAGGAGTGGTTGGAGAGAAAATTTGAGGTGGAGAAGGTCAAGGAGGCATTATTCTCCATGGATAGATCAAATGCTCCGGGCCCAGATGGTTTTACAATGGCATTTTACTAGGATTGTTGGGAGGTCTTGAGGGAAGAGCTAATGTTAGTATTTGAAGAGTTCCACAGAAGAGGAGTGATTAACCCAGGGTTGAATTCCACATTTATTGCTTTGGTTCCCAAGAAGAGAGAGGCAACACATCCAAGGGATTATAGACCTATTAGCCTAGTGAACAGTCTATATAAGATCATTGTGAAGGTGTTGTCCCTTAGGATTAGACAGGTGCTCATTACCATCATCTCAAATAACCAAGGAGCTTTTGTGAGGGGCAGGCGAATCACTGATCAAATTCTTGTAGCAAATGAGAGTGTGGAGGACTTCAAGAGATGTAAGAAGAAGGGGGTAGTCTGTAAGCTAGATTTGGAAAAAGCTTATGACTTGGTAGACTAGTCCTTTTTGTTGGAGGTGATGACTAATTTTGGGTTCGGTGATAGATGGTGCAGATGGGTGTTGGGGTGTATTAGGTCTTGCCACTACTCTATTTTGGTGAACGGAACGGTGGTAGACTTCTTCCCAGCATTCAGGGGAATAAGACAATGAGACCCCCTTTCTCCTTTCTTGTTCACCTTGATTGCGGAAGTATTAGGGAGTCTAATCTCAAGGCAGATTCTAGAGGGCTAATTAAGGGTTGGAGAGTTGGCAAGGAGAGTATACCACTAACACACTTGTAGTTTGCAGATGATACGATTTTGTTTTGTGAGGGGGGGACATGAATTGGATTAGAAATGTGAAACTTACATTTCAACTATTTGAGCAAATGTCCAATCTGAAAGTTAATTTTGATAAAAGTTGTGTTGTAGGTGTGAATATGGGGGAAGTGAGATCCTTGAGTGTGCAAATATTTTGGGTTGTGGACTTTCGAATTGGCCTTTGATTTACCTCGGTCTTCCTCTAGGAGATAATCCTCAAAAAGGAAGTTTTTGGACTCCTGTAGTGGAGAGGTTTGAAAAGAGACTTGCTTCTTGGAAGAAAAACTACCTATCTCTTGGGGGAAGAATTACCTTAATCAGTTCTACCCTAGCTAATCTGCCCATCTATTATCTCTCAGTCTTTAAGGTACCTGCAGGGGTTGCTAGTAAGTTGGAAAAATTAATGAGGAACTTCTTGTGGGAACCGGGGGAAGAATAAAAGGATCATAGGGTTAGATGGGAGATGGTGTGTAGGAATAAGCAGGATGGAGGGCTAGGCATTGGGAATATTAGGAAGAGGAATTGGCTTTGCTAGGGAAATGGCTGTGGAGGTTTTCTATGGAGAGGGAGAAACTGTGGACGAAGATAATTTGTAGTATTCATGGGCTTGCAGAGAATGGTTGGGACTTTGGGATTCTAGCTATAGCTACAAGAGCATCACCTTGGAAATCCATCCAAGATGTTTTGCCTCTCTTCTCTCCTTGGATCAGGTATGATTTACACTCGGGTAATCTCATAAAGTTCTGGGAACATGTTTGGGTTGGGGAGACCCCTTTGAAAGAACAATTTCCGGCTCTATTTGCAATCTCCACCCTCAAAAATGAACCAATTTCCAGTTTCCTCGTTTCCTCAAACCCAAATTCCGAGTTTGCTTGGAACTTGGGTTTGAGAAGAGCACTCAGGGACACAGAACTGGTTAATCTTTCATCTCTTTTGTCCATTCTTGAGGGGATCTTCTTGGAACCCACAAAGACAGATAGTAAGATCTGGTCTTTGTCTCCCTTTGGATCCTTCACTTGTGCATCCTTCGTTAAAGTCCTGATACAGCCAGAAATTCCTTTTGGTCTGTCATTCTCTGTCAAGGAAGTGTGGTGTAAACCTATACCTCCGAGGGTTAGGAGCTTTTGTTGGGAAGTTTTCCTTGAAAGAATCAACGCAGGTGACCTACTTCAAGAAAAAGACCCAATAGCTGTTTATCTCCACACTGGTGTGTTTTATGCAAAGCTGCTGGTGAGTCTGGGTATCACTTACTAATATCTTGTGTTTTGGCAAAAAATATTTGGGATTGGTTTGCTTCTTTATTTGGGTGCAGGTGGACACCTCCAAATAGTCTGCAAAGCTTGTTTTCCTCTTCACCAATTGAATGCTCAACGAAAACATCAAGAATTATGTGGAGATGCGTGAGAGCTGCTGTTTGTTGGACACTATGGGAGGAAAGAAATGGAAGAATCTTCTTGGAAAAGGAGAGAGGCTTGGAAACTTTGGTAGAGTTTATTCATATAAGAGTAATACACTGGCTGAAGACAATGAAGGAGTTTACAGATTTTTCAACAAATGATATGCTAAGAAAGTGGAAAGAAGTTGCTAGCTAGGAAGAAGACTTTGAATCTCATGTGGAACCCTCCACCTCATGGTTTTGTCAAACTAAATTTTGATGGCAGTAGCATGGGGAATCCAGGGCCTTCGGGTATTGGGGGGGTCCCAAGGGATGAGAGAGGTAATGTAATAGCTATGTTCTCATGTCCAATTGGAGTGGGAGACTCCTTGAGGGCTGAGGTGTTAGCAGTGTTGGAAGGGGTACAAAGGGCCAAAGAAATTCAAGTCAAGAAACTGCYTATAGAAGGAGATTCTGTGATTGTTGTGAATTGGCTGAAAGAAGACACTTCCAAGATGTGGAGCTACAGCAATGAGAAAAGAAAATTCAAGTGGCTGATTAAGGATATGGAAGTCCAATGTACTTGGGTTAGGAGAAATGCTAACTCCTTTGCTGATGGATTGGCTAGGCAAGGAGTTTTTAGAAATTCTGGGTTTTGGGCTCAATTGTGAGGGTCTGAGTGTTTAAATCAGTTATACTTCTTTTCTGGGGAGTTAAGTATCTTAAGCTCCCCTTCCCTGTAACTTTTTTTCCTATTTTAATGAATTATGTGGTTATTGATCAAAAAAAAAGAGAGAGAGAAAACCTCCATGGTTTATCAAGAATTTAGGTGTCGTTTGGCAATTCTTTTTAGGAAGATCTTCCAACAGATTAGATGGCTAAAAGATGAATGAGCAAGGTTTTAAAAACTGACCTGGAAATGGAACTGTTTTGGCGGTCGGTTTCCGGGTCAGCAGTTCAACTGTCCGGGTCAAATGGTTCAAACGTTTTAACAATATATTTCATGCTACCCTTTGGATTGGAATATTAGGCTAAGATGGTAGATGAATATAAATGATGTTATGAGAAGGGGGATGAGAATGAAAGTGGGGAGAGAGCTCTGTCAGCTCAGAGAAGGAAAAAAAAAAAGAAGGCTGAGAGAAAGAAAGAGAATGGAAGAAAGGAGGAAAAGGCAGAGGTGTGGTGTCATGTACCGGTGATGACGACAGTGACCTGCAGCAGCAACAGTTCTCTCTCTTGCAGATCTGTCATCTTGTCTCTGAGATCTCTCTCAAAGATCTCATCTCTGAGATATCTCTGTCTCTCTCATATATGATATATCCCTTGGATCTCTCTCTCTCTCTCTCTCTCTCTCTCTCTTAGATCTCAGATCTGAGATCGATCTCGCTTCCCTCTATTTTATCTCTTTTTTTGTTTTTTTTTTTTAATTTTAAACAAGGTATATTAGACCGCAAACTGTTGTCTGGGTCGAACGGTTTAGCATTCAGACTGTCCAGGTCAATGGTTCATTGACCAATTCAACGGTTTTTAATAAAATAGCAGTTCATCACTAAAACGGAACCAGTACCTTGATCGGTTTCCGGACCGAACGGTCTGACCATCTGGGTCAGTGGCAGTTTTAAAACCATGTGAATGAGTTTAAAGATCTAGACGGTTTGGTAAGTATCCTGGTCTACCATGATCCACAGCTGTTTAAATGAAAGATTTTAAGTGCAGAAAGATAGGAACCTTCATATATTTTTGGCCATTTTGGGCTCTCATGAGCTTTTTAGGGTGCATAGGTCCTTTTGGCTTCATATCTTTCATTGCCAAACAGAGAGACCAAATTTTGGTTTTCCAAACTTTGAAAAGCCCGAATGACCACACAAAAAGACTTGTCAATGCCTTCCTAATTGCTTGTATTCTAACGGAAAATTGTGATATATGGTAGGGTACAACATTGATGTTGCTCATACATAGAACGCATTACCAATCCTGAACCTGCCTTATCTGATGCTCTGATAGACATTTTTAAATTCAGCCACACCATCCTTTCACATGGCTCACCTACGTAGCATATGTATGAATAAGAGAAGAGCATAGAGACTTTCTACTTGCAGCATAAATTGTCTTGAAGACCTGATGATGACTAAAATCCACCAAATATCTATGGGTCACTGAGAGAACAAAATGCAGTGAAGTTCTAGCCAGATTTTTCTATAGAATCCTTTGGAAAAAAGAAAAGAAAAATAAAATATGAAAGGGATGCTCATGACTATCCAATTGAGCCAAGCTTCAGTCATCATTGCTAAGAAAGCGAAGCTTGCTGATTATGATGCTTAGTACCATTTCTTTTTTGTATTTTATTTATTTATTTATTTTTGTATTTTCTTGATTCAGGGGCATCAGACTACTGTTGATTTCATCTTGATCTCCCAGTCACAAGTAAATAGTGTGAATCATGAGCCTGGATGGCAGTCAGATTCTACACAACTGTTTTCTCATTATGCATGCCTCTGCAGGTAAGACTTTGTATTGATGAATACTTTGGTTTTGGTTACAAAATTCTAAATTGAGCCTACATGCTGACTAATACTTCTTGATGTGTGTTTATCGTTTTTGGTCTAGCATTGCAAGCACAAGTCCTGTATGGTTTCTAATGGATGGGCCGAGGATTGTAAGCCATGACTTCTCCATCTCTTTTTGTGAAATTAGACTACGAATGACCATTCACAACTCATCAAATGCCGCTGTGTCTGTCCGGATTGACACTTCAGATGCTACATCAAGTACTGTTCGATTAAGTGATGTAGCTGCAGCATCTCAATATTCTGTTTCTTCTGGAAACCAAACAGGGTGGCGTGATGTATCTCTAGTGAATGACATTAAAATCACATCTGATGTCTCAAGTTCCCTAATTAGCAAGGCATCATCACCTGATGGCATAACTCCATTTGTTTGGTGTGCATCAAGCTCTACTCGTGTTGAACTTGAGTCCATGTCCACTACTGAAATTCCCCTACAGATTTGTGTTTTCTCTCCTGGGACATACAATCTGTCAAACTACCGAGTACACTGGGATCTTCGATTTCCTGAGGATAAAGCACTTGGAGACGGTTCACAACAATCCTCAGGGATAAGTCCAGGACATCCATTTTATCTTAACGTACTACAGTCCCCTTAGATACACCAATCTTACCAGCATATCTTAAATGCAATAGTTAATGTCAATGTTGTCGTCTTGTAAATTGTAATATTTGTTGGAAATTGTTGTGGGTTTTGTTGTTTTAACAGAATCAAACAACCCACGTTGAGTTCAATATAGACAGGATAGTTGAAGTCCATATTCTTTCTGTATTCTCGGACAATAAAATTAATCATGATAAATATGAAGTTTTCCCACAATTTGATAAGCATCATACAACTTGTATAGAATTTCAGAAGATGGTCTATTGATTCCATTTTAGAAAACAGATGATCAAGTTGGTATTTGTTTTGAGGGGAATTTACAAATATGTGTTTTTTCAACGTTTACCCATCCAGCCCAGATGGTTGAACCACTCCCAGAACCGGAGGAATAAGTGGTTCCCTTTCCAGGTTGGTTTTACTTGGATCTTATCCATATAGAGCAAGGTTTTAAAAACCAACCTGGAAACGGAACCACTTATTCCTCCGGTTCTGGGAATGGTTCAACCATCTGGGCTGGATGGGTCAAAATGGGTGAGCTCAATTTATATTGTATATTGCATAAAGTCCAAGCCATTAGATTGGAATTTTAGGTTAGGTTAGGAGAATATATAAGTCACATATTAGAGAGGAAAGAGCAAGGGGAAGAAAAAGAAAGGATAAGCTCTCTCACAGATTTCTCTATCCCCCTCCACCATCTTTATGTATCAATATGAGAGAGCACTGAAATATCTTGGCCATCCATAACATCAAAAATGATCTTCTAATAGCAGTTAATTAATCTCATCCATCCAAATGATGCGCCAATATTTTGTTTAATCTAACCTTCTAAATCATGTACCGTATCAACTCAAACATCTAAAGCTATTATCAGTGAATTATTAATCTCAACCATCCAAGTGATGGACTGATTTTAACAACAATGAATGTGTGGGACGATGGATCCTGCTCTGAAGAGTTGCAGAACCCTAAGGCTGTGTTTGCTTTGAAGGAAAAGGAAGTTGTGTCCCTCCACGCGTGTAAGGCGGTGAGAGTTCTGAGGTTCCTCTCTTAGATGTCTGAATCTCCTGATAGTCTGTAACGAAGAGAATGTTTAGAGTGAGATCTCAGTTATTTTTCTCCATGAAAGTTTAACCCTATTTTATGGTTGTTCTACTCTTCCGTACGTTCTTCGGGTGTCACATGAAAGAAGACACGATTAGAACGGAAATATCTTGCATCAGAAAGTATATTAGTTAGTTATGCCAAGTCAATATAGACAGTTATGGGAAAACAGGCACGAGAGAAAGAATTCAGATCTGTTTCTTACAGAGCATTCCTCGTACCAACCTCATAATCATAATATGTCTCAGCCTTGCGTCAGGAATATCTCTTGTATTTGTATGTTACTATTCGTAGGGAGATGTTTTCAATGCACGGTGAGATGTACTGTAAGGTCAGTGCTAGGAACGCTCTGTGAAGAGCTAATCCTGATTCCAAGTGAACTTGGTACTGAACTAGATATCTTTAGCAAGTCTTCATGCATCTAAAAGACTAAAACCGACAATCAAGGCCTTGGGTTTATTGCTTTTACCCCATCAAAATGTCATTTCATCTAATTCAAGGTGAGGCCCCGAGTCTCCTGAGACAGAGAGTTTGTGTGCAACAGAGAGTTTTCCAGTCAATTCAAAACCCCTCCCTGTCTGGGAGGGGTCTCTCTCTTGCATTGCCTGATGCAAGTTTCCCTCTTGCATCGCTTGATGCGAGTTTTTCCTCTGTTACGACAGGTTTTTGAAAGATAGGGTGTTTTTTTTGTTGTTTTATTTTTTTATTTTATTTTTTTTGTGTTTTCTTTTGTTGGTCGATTGTTGTCTTGTTCCTTTGGTTTCTCCCTGTAGGATTTACATACGGTGGTTTGATCTTTGTTCTGAGAAGTGGTTCATCCTCTTCGATTTGTTCTTCATTGGCTTTATTTTCATGAAGGCTGAAGATGTTGTTGTTACTAAAATCACTCTGAATGGTGACATCTGTTCTAGAAAGAAATTTGTGGATGCTTTACTGTCGACATTATGTTTGGGAGTATCCTCTTACTTGGGATGCTTTCTGGTGTGGTGTATTCCACTGAGTTGTTCTTCGGTGAGGAGGATTATTCTTTGTTCTGTCGTTTTTTTTTTCCGGTGCAGCCCAATCGTTTCCGTTCAGTCTCTGGCACTGTCCAGCATTTCAGTTATTGGAGGAACTCTTTTTTGGCACTTTTTTTGGACCATCTTCTTTTAGCGGGGACGTGGCATGTTTCTTGCTTCATGCCTAAGGACGGTTTTCCTTGGAAGGAGTTTACTTTTGCAAGATAATTGTTACGTCCAAGCCTGGGTGAGACAATAGTTGGCTCTCTTCTTTTCAAATATGAAGTTTTAGTTGCGATTTCCATAGAAGGGGTGACTTTGGCAATTTTTCTGTGTATCCCCATTTTCAGGAGCTTCTTGTGGAGTTTTACTCTGTTGGAGGTCGGTTCTCCTTTGTTATTTCCATCTTTTTGCATCGTTTGCAGAGTGTTTATAAGAATTTCTCCTGGTGCTCAGGATTTGTTGCAATTTGTATTGTATTTATCTTTTCTCCTTTATTTGCTGATTGTACATGGATTGTATTTGAGATTCTGAGCATTCTTAATGAATTTAGCCATTGCATTTAAAAAAAAAAATCAAGGTAAAGGCCACATCAATACATCAGACGCTTTGATAGCCTGGGTGACGTGCCACCGTCTACATTTCTATATCAAGGCATCCAATATCATAAGACGTTTGGCCAAGTTTTAGTGGCCTGGGTGGCTGTTTTGCACACCCATTAATGCTTGCTGATAGTGGTGGATATGTCCATGCCCTAATAAAATGGTCCATGGATATATCCATAGTCAATCTATGTCCATCAACTGATCTAACCAAGGTTTCAACTAATCCTATCCATTTAAGTATTGTCAAATTTTCTAAATAAAACCTACGCCATGTACCATTTCATTGTTATTATAAACAAAACAACAGACCAACCATTTAATCTTCTTTACCCATCACAGCTTTTCTATATTTATTTATATACAATTAAGATGATTACAAACTAGAAAGGATCAAGATTAAGTGGACTGTCTTCAATCTTCACCTACGTATGCAAGTCGCTGTTTCTTTGACAAGATTATTTAGGATTCTTATCCTCAACAGCATATCAATGGAATAAACTATTAGAATGACAACTTTTTCGTAATAACCTTAAGATATCTAAATAGATTAAACAATTCATACAAGTCACTAAACTAATTCTAATATTTCTTTTCTAGTTTGTTCTATATGGAAGTTTCAGGAAAGACAATTAATACCTATAAACTACATGAAATGCCAATGGGGCGATCACTGTGACGTCCGTGTAGTTCCTTTGGTTTCCAGCTTCTTAGATTTGGTATCCATGTCAGGGTTAATCTGATCTGATGAGAGGTCATTAGAAGAGCTTTGTCAAGTGTCAATGGTTGTTGCACCAAGGTGGCTCAGTGGCAATACTAGAGTCCCAAAGGTTACAGATTAGGTTGTGACTTGTGACCTTCGTGTGGCTGAAGAAGGATTCCTGTTTGAACAAACCAAGAAAAAAGAACTCTAATTGGGAAAGGGGTGAATGTATTCTGGGAGTTGTGGGTTCAAAGTTGAGAATTGTCCATCATTCTTGTTTTCTCTTTTATATGTGAATCAGTAGAAGTAGGAATGCAAATGGATCAGATCGGATTCGAATTGGGTATATCTGAATCTAATTAATCTGATCGATCTCACAAAGGTCAATTTGAATTCAAATCCATTAAGGATGTTAGATATATCCAATCCAATTTAATTTTTTGTAAACTTTTAACAAATTATTAAAAGGGAAAACATAACCTATATAAAGAAAAAGAAAAAAAATACAAGCATATTAATTTGATCCCAATTTTAATTGGCTCCTATTATTAGGGGATATCCAGATCCGATAAAATAGGTTTGGATACAAATTCGGATCTGATCATCGATCCGATCCATTTGCACCCCTATGTCGAAGAGGAAGGTGCTCGGAGGTGCTCTATTTTCTTATCTGATTCTTAATTTAATTATAAGTTTCTTACATGGTTTATTTTTCTTTCAGAAATTCTGAAGAAGTTTGAACTGAAACAAGGTTAAAGGGACCTGGTTATTTACGAACAAAATGAAGGATTACTTAAGGATAAATGAAAGAATTTGATCAGACTCGTATTTTGTGTTAGAATTTTGACAAACAATTTCCCGGAATTGTTGGTAGGCTTCTATTATTATTATCAAGAGTTCGGTAGGTTTCTATAGTTGGAGATTCTCCAGTTTATTCAACAATATTAATTTTTCTTTCTTCTAGATGGTCTTACATCAGAATTCACAAGGTCCACCTTCCATGGCCCACCCTTGAGTTGCCGGTCAGGCCTAAATTTTCCTCTTGGTTTTGTTTCCTTCATTTTTCTTTTAATCCTTTTGGGGGTGTTCTCACAACAGAAGCGGTGCAATGTCTGATATGATACCAGAAGAGTTTTGACCAGTCAAAATCCATCCATGAATTTTGATAAGCACCATCAATTGGTTAACATATTTATAATACTGGTTGATTGGTTACAAGTTTTTCAGATATCATGCCTTTCTGGTATTATAGTCGAACCCTTCTCTTAAATTTATCCTGACTTTTCAAAACCTCCAGAAACCTCACTTATAGAGATTAACTATATATTTTGTAAATTTAGTATACTATTCCTCATTCTGAGTTTGGTATCTCTTCATCCAAATGGTTGTGGGACCTTTTGGTTTTAAGAGCTCAGAAAAAGGAAAATTTGTAATCTGTTTTTTAATAATTTATAATAGAGGATCAAGGTTAATTTTATCATTAAAAATAATGAATGACCTAACTAGACAGCTTATGTTAATTGTCAATAATGGTAACACAAGAGAAGGTAAGTTTTAGATAACAAAAAAAAATCTCTAACAGGGGTGACGGGAAGTTTTAAAGGCCAGGGTAAAAGTTTAATGAAAAAAAAAAAAAAAAAGAGTGAAGGGGAGGTTTTAGAATAACCGATATATTTTTAAAAAGGCCAAGTTTGTTTTGTTGTAGAATGGAATACTTTCACTGGGATATTTCAAATATTATTATTATTATCAATATTTCAACCTGAAAAAAATATCCATACAGCCTGAAAATATTATGATATTAATGGAGAGAGAGACCTAATTA